GACAGGCCGTGGACGTTTCAGCCCGAGCAGGCATCAGGGCCAAGAGTGCCCATGGACCGTTAGCGCAATGCCGTTACCAACTTCAGCTCCCGTGCACGATGGCCAAGATGGCAGCACGGGCGCGGATGGCGGGCAGGGAAGCGGTGGCGACGAGGAAGGGGTGCCCCAAGCCCCGGGAGGTGGGACGCGCAGCTTCGGGAAGGCAATGCCGGTCCTAGAGGGCGTCGTTTGTCGACCGTAGCTCAGTTGGTTAGATCGTGGGTCCAGGGAGTTGTGATTTCCGGGGTCCGCGGAGTTCTTCGAGGGATCGGGAAAGGACCAGGCGCCACACAAGAAAACGGAGTTCAGCCTGGAGATCTAATCGAATCGCGGTGTCGCTCTCCCGACGCTATGTATCCATGGTCCCTCTCGCAACCTGTCGAAGTGTCGGCTAGTCTAGTCCTCCATCGCCCTCGCGACCTCGTCGACGACCGCCCGGTCAAGCTTGTCGACCTTCCAGCCCTCGAGCGTGAGTACCCTGCAGATCGCCGTGCGGAGGTTGATGTCGAGCACCGCGAAGCTCTCCCAGAGCTGGAGCACCGGGGGCAGCCCGCCTTCCAGCGCACGGCCGCAGGTTGCCGATGCGACCTTGTCGCCCGCACGAGCGAACAGAGGCGCTTCGTCGGGGCAGCTGAAGAGCAGGCTGCACGCCGACATGGTGTAGAGCGACGACTTGGGCATGCGCGCGGGGATCGGGGCAGGCTCGACGGCTCGGGTGAAGTCTCCGTCCGACGCCTTCCGGAGCTTCGCCTTGCAGCCGACCCTCCGGCACAGCCTGTCTCCCGAGTGCGCGCCGGGGAAGAAGGGCCAGGGCTTGGACGCGAGGAAGGGGCTGGCGGTGACGAGGAGGGCTTCGATGCCGAGGATCTTGCTGACGTGGCGAGCTTTGGCCGACGATCCAGGGGGCGGCAGGGACTCGTCGCAGCGGTCGGTCAGAGCCTCTTCGTCGCACGCGCCAGATTCGTTCTCGGAAGCGTCGCAGCCGAGCCGGTTGTGCTCGCAGCCGCCGTCGACGAACCACATCACGTCGCCGTCGCCCAGATCCACGAAAACGGCAGCGTCAGGCTCATCCCCGGCGACCTTGAAGTTGCTGAGCCTCAAGGCGACTCCTTTCTTTGCCGACTTGAACGCGATGAGGGCGAACATGGAGCAGCCGCGCGGGCGGTTGTGGCCGAGGTCCAGCTTCTGCCCGAAGGAGAAGGCGAGGTCGGTGAAGTACTTGGCGCCCACGCAGACGAGGCTGTGCGACGGATGGTCTTTCTTCTGGCATTCGGCGCTGCAGTAGGCGGCGGATTTGCACTGCGTGCAGGTCTTGAGCTTCCCGCCCGGCTTCGCCCCCGTCTTGGCGCGCTCGGCCCGGCAGCCGGGTTCGTGGCACTCTTCCAGCACGCGCAGCTCGCGGAGCCCGATGCACAGCTCGAAGAGGGCGGCCCGGTCGTACATGGCGGCGGCGTTCGACCGGGAGTGGGTCACGGTGCGGTTTCGGTTGGGGCTGCTGTCCCATCACTCTTGCCGCTTTGATTCGGCGGGCGCTCGATGTCACTTCAACTGCTGGTTATGCAGATTCTTTAGCAATTTACAAGGATGATGTCTTCCTGATCATCCTGCCCACCCCGGCAGCAGTCAGGGCCTCCGCCACGAAGCCCTCTGGATCTTCGGGTGTTCCCTCCGGCACGGCCAGGACGGCCGCGTGCACCGGGCCCCTGTCCCCGTCGTCGACCGCAATCATCGTCCAGGAGAAGGTCAAGCCGTCGACGACGGCCTCGGGCGGCAGGAGCAGGAGCAGGAACGACGGCGGCGAGACCAGGGAAGGCGAGAGCGAGGTCAGCAGCGCGAGGCGCGGAACTTTGCCTTCCGCCGTGGCGCGGATCCCCGAGAACAGGCTCCGCTGTAGGTCTTCCGATAGCTGAGAGAGTTGCGCGTGGGTGAACCTCTCCACGGCAACGGCATCCTCTGCTGGGCCCGAAATGGTCACAGAAACCAGCGCCGACAGTGTTCGTGCTTCCAAATCCGTCATGGGCGATTCAACGATGCCGGATGCCGCCGGAGTCCTTCGGAAAGCCTCTGCACGAACGCCTCTGCCGGCGATCCCCGCGCCCATCCACTCCAAGTCCTGCTGGGCAACGAAACCCTCCCCGCCTGCTTCCCCCGGCGGCGGATCAAACACAACGACGCGCTCCCACTCGACCGAGAGAGCACGGAACACATCCGGAAGGCGGAGGAGCGGCCATTCGGGGTCCGAGTCCTGCAGAGATGCGGGAGGGGCAAACACGCAGCGCACGGGGCCGATTGCGCGCAACGCGTGCAAAATGGCCGGATAGATGTCCGGCCGCCGTCCGTCGGTTGTTGCCGGCGCGTCCAACCGCACGATGCAGGGCACCATGCTCGCGAGCATGACGCCGTGGACCGCCGCGGCCAGCCGGAGGTACGATGTCGCGCGAGGAACGAGCAGCGCCACGGCATCGCCCGGACGCAGGTCCCCGTAGACCGACAGCGTGGCCGCGAGCCGCGATGCCGCGTGGAAGTGGGATTCGTGAGTCGCGGCAAGGAGGCGGCGCGCGGGCGGCGCCCCCGGCGACAGCGCGGCAAGCAGCGGCCGCGGTAAAGGCGGGCCCGGAGAACGCCAGTAGCGCTCCGGGAACCACGGGGAAGGCGGATTCGCGGGGTTGTTCGTCATTGTAGTCGGCTAGTCGCGTCGCGTCGATCGGTGGCGTCGTATATCGGACTGCGAAGCTAGAGCAGGCCGGGAAGAGTTACAAACTCCGTCCAATCGTACAACCCCAGCAGTGCTTATCTTGATGATCAGCAAATCAAGTTACAATGAGACAATATAGATCCAACGTGGCCGTCGTGGCCGTAGCTACTGGCGAGGGAGCCCTTCAGGCGCGGTCTTCAGATGCTACCCGGCACGGCGCTGCGCCAGACTTCGAGGAACCCGTTCTTCTTCCAGCCCGCCTCGATTCTCTCGCGGCCCGCGTGCCCCTCGTAATCCTTCAGCCCATCCTTAAGCATTCCTCGCAGGTCGTCCTCCGAGAGCGGACCGGCCTCGCCGTCGGCCTTGACAAAGTAGGCGGTCTTGGGCTTCTTGCCCTCCAGGACGCCGTCGGCCCACGCGGCAAGCCGCTCGTGGAGGATCCTGACGGCGGGGAGGAATGCCATCCCCGCGAAGAGGTGCGTGGCGCCCTCGTAGATCTCGAGCTCGGCGGGGATGCCGGCGCCCGCGGCGCGGAGGTAGAAGAGGGTCGAGTCGTCGCGGAGGCGGTCGATCGCGCCTGTCTGCATCCAGCACGGGGGGAAGGGCAGCTTGGCGAGCTCGGTGGGGTCGGCGTAGAGCGGCGAGACGGCGGGGTCGACGAGGTTGTCGGCGTACGGCGAGACGTACTCCTTGTCGCCGACGACGCTGCTGGGGTGGACGCCGGCGACGACGGCGCCGGGCAGGGGGCAGAGGTCGATCACGCGCGAGGCAGGGGTCGAGGCGGAGAGGTCGAGCCAGGGGGTGAAGCCCGTGACGCCCGCGGGCGCAGGGTGGCCCTCGCGGATGACAAAGAAGGCCGTGGCGAAGGACATGTTGCCGCCGGCCGACATGCCCCCGAAGAAAACGTTGGACGGCTTGAAGCCCTGCTCAAGCAGCCAGAGGTAGGCCGAGGCGCCGTCGTGGAGGGCGCCGGGGAAGCGTTCGGCGGGTGCGAGGCGGTAGGTGGGTGCGAGGCAGTAGAAGCCCTTGGAGGCCAGGGCGATGGCGGAGCCGCGGATCTGGGTGGGGTCACCGATCACTGGGTGGGAGGGGATCAGCGAATCCGGGCCACCAGCATTGCGAAGGGAGGGATCCCACCGTAGCCGCCCCCGTGCCACAGAATAAAGGCCTTTTGCTCCGCCGGCGCCTTGCCGTCCGCCGGGGCGATGATCTCGGCCTCGACCGGGTCGGCATCTCCCGAAATCGGGTCGTCCGGGAAAGCGCGCCGCGGAATTTTGACGGTCGAGTACGTCAGGCCGTCGGGCAGCTTTGGCGCTGCGCCGCCGGCGATGCGGGCGCGGACCTTGGCCGTCGCCGGGTGCGGGGCGACTGGGAGGCATCGGCGCGGAGGCACAGCGAGCTGTCAGACCGCCGAGAAACATCGAGAATCGCAGCAGAATGACCCACGGATGGCACCCCAGTAGAGGACCGAGCGGGCAAACGTCTCGAGGAGCTCGCGGCCCGTCGACCAGGTCGAAATCCTCGGATCGGTCGACAAAAGGCCGATGGCCGCCAGCGCGCGGCGGCCGACGACGCGGGCCACCGTGGGCCCGATAAGGACGAGCGCGATGAGCGCCGTCTTTGCTGCAGCCGCCATTTTCGGTGCGGCGGGAGACGAGGGAGAGAAAGTGAGTCGCGGCTAAACTGAAACGTTGCGCGGGCGGCTCGCCGGCAAGATAGTCAGGGGCATGCTAAGACCCCTGCACCTCTTGCAGGAATCCACTGGCCTTGAAGCTCCACAACGAGATGCTATGCAGCTAGGGTCCGACGTACCCAGAATGGCAGTCTCTAGGGCGGCGGACGGTGAAGGCGGGGGACTACGTACTCCTCCTCACGGACCACCGTTGCGATCGCAACAAGCAGGCGAATCACAGGAGGGAGCATCAATCCATCGTCTTGATAAGAATCGTAGACTGCTCTGATGCGAGATAGATTCAAACCCTGTCCGCAATGTCCTGGCGGAGGAGCCGAGCCAGCCCAGTAGAGCCTTCACCTTCCCGATATCGGCCCACGCACCAAATCGACGCCGAACACACGAGCTCGTGGGTCCTACGCGGTGTAGAGACATCTAGAACACTCAGTTTTGGTGCTTTTGCCCAGCCTAGGCATCGTTAGGGTTTGAAACATGCCCGACGCTCCCCCACGCACAAATTCCCGTCCGAATGCCTCCAAACTTGGCCAAGACGCGGATACTTGGTTCGCTTCTGATTGTCGAAATGAAAAAGTTTGCGACTGGGCGGGCTCGAACCGCCGGCCTTGGGATTGCACATAGAGCCGTCAAGCACCATAGCTTGCAAGCCTATATATGAGACCCACGATCTAACCAGCTGAGCTACAGTCGTGTACACAACTGCTTAAGGGTGGTCTGGAGCGTCCTGACCGGTGGTGCCCACTCTCCGGCACTCCGAGTCGCCCAGCCCCACTTCTGCCCACCACCTCATCCAGTACCGGCGCAGCCAGCCTAGGCGACGTGCAACAGAGTGATTGCTCGGCAAGTGCGGGAGCGGGCCGGGGCGGTCGACGATGACGATCTTGGTCCACGGCAGCGAGCTTGGTCCACGGGCGGTGAGCTTGGTCCATGGGTCGTCGCGGCGACGCCCTCTAGGGCCGGCATTGCTTTCCCGAAGCTGCGCGACCCGCCTTCCGGGGCTTGGGCATCCTTTCCCTGCCCCGCCGCTTTCCTGCCCACCATCCGGCAAGCGCGCAGCCTGTCTGGGAACCCACGATCTAACCAACTGAGCTACGGTCGACAAACGACGCCCTCTAGGGCCGGCATTGCCTTCCCGAAGCTGCGCGTCCCACCTCCCGGGGCTTGGGGCACCCCTTCCTCGTCGCCACCGCTTCCCTGCCCGCCATCCGCGCCCGTGCTGCCATCTTGGCCATCGTGCACGGGAGCTGAAGTTGGTAACGGCATTGCGCTAACGGTCCATGGGCACTCTTGGCCCTGATGCCTGCTCGGGCTGAAACGTCCACGGCCTGTCGCCGCACTTTCGTTGGTGCCACCTCAAACGCCCTGCGGCGATAGCTTTCACGCCAGATCCGCGCCAAGATTCCTGGTTCCTCATGCTCCAAGGGCCGGATTCTCGCCGTCCAGGGCGGGGTTTTTCCAGAACTGGGCGTAGTCCGGCTGTGCGACCGCGCCCCGCACCCCGCCAACCCTGCGCCGCGGAAACTTCCACCCGCCAGAACCCCGCCGCGGGGCGATATAAGACGCGCAGCACGATGCCAGCTCGGCATCAAAGTCGATCGACGGCAAACCAAACGCGATTCCCATACCCAACTTGAACCAAAGACACCGAAACATGGCCCGCCTCCCCGCCGCTCTCCTCGCCCTCGCCGCCTCCATCCTCGCCTCGATGGCCTCCCCCGCGAACGCGCAGGACATTTTCCCCACGCCGCCCGCGCCGATCCAGTGCGCCGCCGACACGGCCTTCGGCCTGCCCAACAACGTGCCGTGGTCGCCCTCCCCGGTCAACGCGCCCGGCATCGTGCTCGGCCCCATCACGCCGGGCTCGTACTACGGCGTCATGGCCAGCAACCTCTCGTCTTTCTCCTCGAACTCGACGCACGGCTGCCCCGAGCCCGGCTACGGCGGCGCGTGCGGCACCCAGTCGGGCCAGCTGTGGCTGACGGTGGGCAGCTCGGCCATCTCGGCCGTGTACAACCCGCTCGCGTCGGGGCCCGTTGTCGGCCGCGTCAGGTCGATGGGCCTGTGGTGGTCGTGCGACAAGCCCGAATCGTGGGATGACATCCGCAAGGGGGAGACGGTGACGCGCACGTACGACGCGTGCACCGACGAGTACTCGTACACCATCTCGTCGTCGGATGCGGGCAAGGTGCTGCCCCGGTGCGCGGACGGGTACTACGTGGTCGCCCAGGCGTACGAGTACAGCCTGCCGCAGGCGTGCGAGATCCCGGGGTGCCCGGCCAACTCGACGCATCCCGCGATCGCCTGATGGGCATGAATTGAGATAATGAGAGACCTATACCCAGCATCCAATTCTCCTCGTCCGCTGAACTGTGTCCCATTAGCAATTGATCGGCGCCTTGAGTCACCCGGAGTTGGGAGTTCCGCACGGTCTCCCAGCCTCGCAGACTCCGCCTCCGCCCCCCCTCTCCGGCGCCATGGCGAGCCCGTACCTCTCGCAGCGCATCGTGATCGTCGGCGCGGGCGTGTCGGGCCTCGTGTGGGTGGCGGGCCGTGCGGGGAGGAGCCGCCGCGACGCGCCTGACTCGGTGTCCCGCGCGCGCCAGCACGGCCAAGGTGCTCCTGCAGGACGGCTTCACCGACGTCACGCTGCTCGAGTCGTACGCGCACCTCGGCGGCGTGTGGGCAAAGGGCCGCGGGTACCCGCGGCTGTCGACAAACTCGGTGCGCGGCAACTACTCGCTGTCGGACGCGCTGCTGTACCGCTCGCCCGAGGAATGGAAGGCGATCGGCGGGAAGGACGGCGGGTACTGGGTGTACGGCGACGAGATCAGGGAGGGCCTGGAGAAGTATGCCGACGAGTGGCACGTCAGGGAGAGGTGGGCGGACCGGAAGCGGACTCCACCCCAGCTTCCCGGGCTGAAGGAGCGCGCCGCAACAGGATCAAGTTCAACTGCCAGGTGCTCGACATCTCCGAGGTCCCCGAGACGGCGCCGCGGTACAAGTGGAACGTGCTGTACCGCGACGCGTCCTTGGGCGCCGAGACAACGGTCGTCGCGGACCTCCTTGTCGTCTGCACCGGACTCTTCTCGCGCCCCAACGTGCCCCGCATCCCGGGCCAGCTTCCGACCGACGAAAACGCCTTCAAGGGGCTGCAGCTCCACTCGAACGACGTGGCCAAGGAGGGCAACGTGGAGAAACTCCTGGCCTGCAAGGACGTGGCCATCATCGGCTTCGGCAAGTCCTCCCTGGACCTGTGCGAGTGGCTCGGCCTGGAGCGCCGCGCGCGCCGGGCCCGCGGGGTGCCCGAGGCGGAGCTCAACCGCGTGCGGCTGGTGTACAGGCAGCCGCACTGGTTCGTGCCCATGCAGTTCTTTGCCAAGCTCGACTTCATGCGGCGCAGCGGGCAGGCCGGGGGTTGGTGGCGCAAGGTATGGGTGCCGGGGGAGCCGGATCCCGACGCGCCGCCGGGGACGCTGGCAAAGAAGGTGGAGAAGCAGGGGCGGTCGCAGTCGAGCATCGAGAGGGAGAAGATGCTCGGGAGGAAGGTGACGATCGAGGAGGCGATCCGGCTGGGGCACGGGATACCGGAGGGGCACGTGCTCGTGCCCAACCACAAGTTTGCCGTGGACAGCTCGCTTGGCGTGGTACGTGTCCGGCGATGCGTCGCGCGGGGCCCTTGAGAGCTCACCGCCCCGCTTCTGCCCAGGCCTCGGAGCACTTCTACCCCCTCGCTCTCGCGGGCGACGTCGGCCTGGACATGGTCGATGCCATCCACGCCATCGGCACCGACCCGGCCACGGGCCAGGGCTACATCCTCGCGCGCCCCAAGTCGCGCGACGGCACCCTCGGCCCCCCGACCCGCATCCCCTGCGACGCCATCATCTACGGCACGGGCTTCCACTTCCACTACCCGTTTTTCTCCCCCGCCATGCAGGCCAAGCTGCAGATCCCGCGGGACAACCTCGCCGGCGCCCCGCGGTTCTTCCGAACCCTGCTGCCCCTCGCCTACCGCGAGGGGGGCACGATCCTGTTCAACGGCGTGTTCAACTCGTCCTCGTGCGCGTGCAACATCGAGGTCAACGCGCACTGGATCAGCGAGATGTTCCTGCAGGGAGGGCCGGCGGCGGGCGACAGGGGCGAGGGGATACTGCGGGTGCCGCCGGCGGCAGAGATGGACAGGCAGGTGACGGCGTTCGAGTGGGTTTCCCGCGCGGCGCGAGATGTGCGATACTGGCTGAACACCGCCGCCTGGTAGCGCGCTGGACAAGATCTTCGAGTCGGGCGGCGGCGCCAAGGAGGGCAAGGTGCACGTGTTCGGGCGCTTCATCGACTTTGCCGACGACGTGCTGATGGACATGGGCCTCAAGACGGCGCGCAACGCGGCGACGCGGGAGGAGGACTGGGACACGGTGTACATGGCGCGGAGCTGGGGCGGGCTGCTCGAGGAGCGCAGGCGGAGGAGGAGGGAGCTGGCGGCGGGGCGGACGGCGAGCCTGTAGGCGGCGCAGCGGGACGGGGTATCCGTATCTGCCGGCAAATAGTAAAATGGACACCAAGGAACATTCCTGCGCCGTTCATGGATGCCCGGCCCGGCAGATCCTGGTTCGCTGTGCGGTGTTCGAATGGAACCCGCCCGGGGGGGCTGGAAGCTGCGCCGCATCCTAGATCCTTCATAGTCCTTAGCGCTGACGGCCGCCGGACACCACACAGACCACGATGCGCTCAGCACTGCTTCCCATCATCATCCTTCTGCTATTGACCGGCGCCTCGGCTGCTCCGCTGAGGCGGCAGACCGGTCCGCCGGCGGCCGCGGGCACCACCGGGCTGCGTGCCACGGCGTGCGGCGGCACCTCGCTGCAGCTCTCCTGCAACGGAGGCGTCGTCGTCATCGCCGACGCGTTCTACGGCCGCGACATTCCCGGCGAGGCGGCGCTGGATTTCTCGTGCCAGACGCCGGCCAACAACACGCAAGTCGACGACTGCAGCCTGTCTCCGGCGCTGTCAGCCGCCCTCGCCGTCGACGTCGCCCGCGCCTGCGATGGGCAACAAAGCTGCAGCTACCTTCTGGACGCCAACTTCGAGGCGATGTGGGGCGACCCGTGCCCCGGCGTGCACAAGTTCCTGCGCGTGTCGTACGACTGCATGGCGCCCGCGCTGTTCGCGCCCGTGCCGCCCGCGCCCGAGCCGCCAAAGTACCCGACGCTGGGGACGCGCAGGCCGTCGACGTTCGCCGCGGCAAAGTGCCCGCTGGTCGCCGCCGCCGCGGCAAACGTGTCGGCGTCGGCCGCGAACTGGGCGCTGCGCGTCGAGCCCAACCCGGGCCCGTTCGGCGCCTACACCGTCGACGCAGTCGATCTGGACATGTCGGAGCTGGACGCGCTGCTGTCGGCCTGGACCAGCGGCCGGGCTTCGATACACACGGCATACAGCCTCAAAGTGCGCGCGGTCAACGTGATTTTCCCCGGCAACACCGTGTCGGTCGGCCACGGGAACACAGCCAACATGACCCGCGTGCTCATCGAGGCCGCCAACATCGTCGCCCTGCCCGGCAGCGCGCTCGCGGTCTACTCGACAGCGCCGGACCCGGCCACGGGCGAGCGGGGGCCCGACGTTAAGATCAGGGCGGGCAGGGTGTTTGGCCGGCTGGACGTGTTGTTCAACGGGATGAAGGCGGGGAGCCCGCTGGTGCAG